AATCGGCTGCCATCCCGTTCCGTCGACCGGACGCCGTTTGAACGCTGGTTCGGACGTAAGCCAGTGATGCGGGATCTGAAAGTTTTCGGATGCGAGGCCTATGTCCACATCCCAAGCGAGAAGAGGGGAAAGCTGGAGAGCAAGGCCAAGAAGATGATTTTCATTGGCTACTGTAGCCAAGCCAAGGCGTATCGGTTCCTCGATTTGGAGACTCGACGGGTTACTATTAGCAGAGACGCTCACTTTCTGGAACTGGGAGCGGAGATCCGTTCAGAAGGAGATTGCGGCTCAAAGGATGTTGAAGTCGTGATCGGCCGAACCGAAGAGGATTTGATTCCGGAAGTGGTCCCGGATGAGGATGAAGAAGATAACGAAGACGGCGATGAATCTTTCTATTCCGGATCAGATTAGTAAAGCGATTCAGCGGGAGATACGGACGGTGAAGCCACAGGAGGAGAAGCTAGTGGTCTGCGCCGATCGCAACGAAGCACGCGGTGTGTTCTTCCGCAGCGGCTGAACGACTATGCAGTAGGTGAGGTTAGCCTAGCTACCTACTGCAGTGAAGAACCGACGACGTACGAGCAAGCGATGGCTTCCGTTGACAAGAAGAAATGGCTGACAGCGATGAAGGAGGAGATGTGTTCCCTGGAAGAAAATGATACCTGGGCGTTGGTGAAGCTTCCTGCGGGGCGCGAACCCGTTGGTAGTCGATGGGTGTTTAAGAAGAAGGAGGATTCGGATGGTCAAGTTGTGCGCTTCAAGGCCAGGGCTATAGCGCAAGGCTGTTTTCAGCGATTCGGGCGTGACTTCGAGGAAGTGTTCGCGCCGGTTGCGATGCAACAAACATTCCGGGTACTACTGGCTATGGCGAGCAGCAAGAAGATGGAGGTGAGGCATATTGACGTTAAGTGTGCTTACCTCTACGGCCAGTTGAAGGAGGAGATTTTCATGGCTCAGCCACCCGGTTTCGAAGTTCCCGGAAAGAAGGACTGGGTCTGCAAGCTAAACCGGAGCATCTATGGCCTGAAGCAGGCCGCTCGGGTTTGGAACCATACTATAAAGGATTTCCTCATTAGCATTGGGTTCCAACAGTCTGCCTCGGATGCCTGCTTGTTCATCAAGGATCTGAGGAGCGGAGAGCGAATGTAACTGCTCTTATACGTGGACGACATGATCGTCGTTTGTCGTCTGCAGGAGGAGATCCGCAAGGTTGAGGAGTAGTTACGGAAGAAGTTCAACATCGCTTCCTTGGGAGTAATCCGTCATTTTCTTGGGATCAGTGTGAAACGAGGAGCGGATGGAGTTTACTCAATCAACCAAGCATCTTTCATCCGGAAGATTGCCAAGGTCTACGATTTGGAGGAGGCGAAACGGTCGACTATTCCGATGGATACTGGCTACTACAAGAGCAGATTGGAGTCGAAGAGCTTGGCGAACAACGTCGAGTATCATGGTTTGATCGGATCGCTGCTGTATATTGCCACCAATACCAGGCCTGATATAGCAGCATCAGTGTCAATATTGAGCCGGAAGATCAACAACCCCTTGCAAGCGGATTGGAATGAACTCAAGCGGATTGTAAGGTACTTGTGCGGAACGGTGGACTACAGATTGTACTTCGATGCTGGCAACCTGAAGCTGGAGGGTTTCTGCGACGCCGATTGGGCAAGTGACACTGCCGATCGGAAGTCGAACAGCGGATTCGTCTTTCTTCTTGGCGGTGCAGCTGTGAGCTGGGGAAGTCGCAAGCAATCATGCGTGTCTACTTCAACGATGGAAGCCGAATATGTGGCGTTGGCAGAGGCTGGACAAGAAGCTGTGTGGCTACGTAGGCTGTTGAAGGAGCTCAACGAGGAACAACATAGTCCAACCATCGTTTGGGAAGACAACAAAAGCTGTTTGGATTTCGCTACTCTGGAGAAGCAGAACCCTCGTTCCAAGCACATAGATACTAAGTATCACTTCACCAGAGAGCTTTCATCATCAGGGGAGATTATCCTGAAGTATCGCGAAACGGACAACATGGTCGCGGACATAATGACAAAACCGTTGGGAGCTGTCAAGGTTCGGAAGTTTTCCGAAATGCTGGGCCTCCGGAGTGAAGCAGCCGGCCAACCCTGAACATCGAGGAGGAGTGTTGAACCGCTTTGTCCCCACAGGGCATATAGTGCGATGTCACAGAGTTGGTAACCCTATTCTATCTCTTTGTTTTTGCAATCGATCAGTTACAAATAAAACGCAATTCAGTTAAGTACAATATAATCGCGAGTCATATTTTATTACCCCGAATTCCACACTTGAATCACGCGGATTCCACTGCCCAAACCTCCGACAATGATGACGTCACGTCAGCACAACATTCCATACCGCGAACAGCAGAGGTGACATCACAGACAAGAGTTGTTTCTAATCTAATCAAATCTAATACAAGCGCAGCATCCTGGAAAATGATTAGGTTAGATGAGGTCTAATCATTTTGCTTGTCTAATTGATGTTTACAGCATATCTGAGATATGATATAAACATCAATACGGCCAGGCCTACTGCGTTGTATTTGCCGCAAAGATGATTCTTGGAAATGAATGGGAACATTTCTTGAATCTACAGGGGTGGAAGTATGCGTGGACATACCGTACCAAACGCTCCGAGTTACTATGTGTAGTTGTGTGTAATGTGTAAATATTTGTACAATATTGAAGATTCATAAAATAATGCAATAGAAGGATCTTACCGAATTTTTTCCTATTTTTTTTTTTTTTTCCTTTGGTTTGTTTTTTCCGTCGATCTTGTTTTCCGTGCTGAGCAAAAATGCTACCGACGTGCCAGGAAGGCAGCTCCCACACCTGGACCCTACCTATCGACCCATCAACTCATGAACCGGGGACCAACGGCTTTACTTCCCATCCGAAGGAAGGCGTGATCAGAGATGTTGTGCCTCAGAACATCCCGGCGGCGCCGACTGGTATTGAACCCAGGCCTGCTGGGGTGAGAGGTAATCACGCTTACCACTACACCACCGGCGCCGTTGTATTTTTTTTCCTATGTTGGTAATGATTCTTTTGCGCTTAAAAGTTTCGTTGGATGCATCCGCTCCTTGTTTATCATGGGTTTTGGGATGCAGTTCCTCGTCATTGCTCGTGGTTATGTTTAGTGATGTGATGGAGATCATTTCTTTCACTAGAAACTACTACTCCTGGCTGATGCGCCAGCCTTGCATCGAGCTGGAACCGCAAGCAAGCAAATCAATTGCCTCCTCGCTCGAATCCTTCGTTGTGAGTGTTTCCGATAGATACGCGCCCATTTTGGCTTGCAGGCAGCAGCACTTTGCTGGAGAAAATTTGCACGTTCGATTTTAACCTACTTCCACTGGATATCACCGTTACCTCCTGGACTTATTTTATAACTTCCGGCTTCCGGATCGTTATGCACTTGTAACTAAACCCAAACGGACACGATTCAACAGCGTACATTAGAAAATTCAGTGGAGATCTGCTTTGCCGGCGCCGGTGGTGTAGTGGTGTTCTGGGTCTGGGTTCAATCCCAGCCGAGGTCGGTGGGATTTTTCTGAGGCATAAAAATCTCTGGTCACGTCTTCCTTCGAAAGGGAAGTAAAGCCGTTGGTCCCGGCCCATGTGTGTTGTGAATGGGTGCGATATCGTACGCAGGTGTGGAAGCTGCCTTCCTGCACATTCGATTGCCGTCAATGGATGGCAATCGATGTCCGTCGGTGATTGGCACTAGATTGCGGAACAGAAACCGACGTTAAATAAAGGAAAGAAGAAGAAGAAGAAGAGATCTGCTTTTTCGCAACGTTTCACGGCGGCGGTAATCTTAAAAACTCTTTCGATTCTATTTTTTTTTTAAATAACCGAACACAGCACTAATAAACACACGCCAAATTATTGAAAAAGTTTTCAGGTGTACAAAATGCACCAGTTAAAGGACTTATTGCATTAAATTTTCAATAAACATCTCGGAAAATAAAGCAGCAGCAATTTCAAAACACGTCAGTTTCGATGCACGGCCTACCTTGATCACACAGACAACAGCTGTTTCGTGTAAAAAGATAAACACTGCGGTGAAATACGAACACCACATTACACATTCAACTAGTTTTCGACATTGGTCTTTATGAACGCACAGTGTCGATATCACAACAAATTTATTTTGACAGATCGATGGCTAACTATAAGGGTTGATGCATATATTATGTCACGCTCTAGGGGGGGGGGTCTAAGATTTGAGACAAGAAATGCATTAGGTATAAGAAAAATGTCACGATAGGGGGGGGGGGTAAATTTCTCCTCGATTTAGCGTGACATAATTAATGCATGGGCCCTAACAGTTATACCTCCCAGGCAACAAAAAAAGGGCTTTTAGTAAGTTATTTTCCATGCAGTTTCATATATGTAATGTGCACTTGGCTAAATTTCTCAAAACATGTTTTGATGCTCAGTTTTTTCATACAGACTGCAAAACAATAGTATTTTTAGAACAAGCATTGTGCTACTTTTTGGAAATATACGTTTAAATTTTGAAATATTTGATGATATTTATAAATATGTATAAAATTTGTCTGACCCCTTGATGAAGTTAAACCATCAATCAAATTTACAACTTACAGACAGAACGGAGTAACGCTTATTAATATTTCTATTATTTGAACTCGCCGGTCAAGCGCATGGTTGAATACATTGTTCCTGCAGTTGAAACCGGTTAAGTATTCTCTGAGACAGATGGTTTCTCATAGACAATCACAATATATATCCCGTATAATATAAGAACAAAAGAGATCAATTGATCCTCACCCCGCTCACCCCTATGGCAATCAAATTGATTTTATTCTCGGTAAACCGGTTCGAAATCACATGAACTTGTACGAGTGGTCATACTACATTCATGCGCGTTAATTAATCATCTTCAATGTTATCTTGCCGATTTAACATTTCGCATTTTATCGATTGAAAATTACTCATCAAATACCACATTTCCAATTGCAGTTCCTACTGGGAATTCGCCTATTTGCACACGCTTCCATCGCAACATTGTTCGGATACATCTACCAAGGCGTCGGCCCGAACGCCAATCAAGTGCTGGCCAATTACGTATACCTGTACGGATCTCTGCTAATGTTGGTCTACACGGGGAAAATGGCAGTCGTATTATCATGTAAGTTTGCGGTTCGATCGGCCTCCAATAGCAATTATTTGAATATAATACCTAAAATCTCGTTCTAGTCCAAGTCGAAATGGAATCTCTCACCCGGGAGCACTTCAACCGATGGTACAAGCTGGGACCCTACTTTCTCTCGGTGTTGATCATTGAAGTTCCTGTCCAGGTTGGTATAATCAGAGCAAATAAAACGAAAAAAATAAGCAAAACCTTGACCGCCGCTGTCGAAACGACATAATTCCAACCCGACGACTCAAAGTCAAGTTCAAATCACATAAACAAAATATCAGAGGCCCGTCTCGTTGAACAGTGGGTCATGTTTTTTCTTGCCAGACAACTCCTTCGTCGCACGCTTTCTTGACTCAAAAGAGTCCGACATGAGATATAAAGTCAATATTGTAAAACAACACATGTGAGCTTGAACGCCGTCGAAACTCGCGGCCGCGCTGAAGTTTAATTGCCTAAAGCCTCGTTACTCTTTGCAAACATATGATTTGTCTTTGATAACGTTTGTGTATGTTCCTCTCCACCTCGTTCAGATCGCCTGCTCAATGATCTACGTCGTGATAAGCTACCATCTGACCGGGAACTACCACACATTTGATCGGTTTCTACTGTTTGCGCTGTTTTGCGTCGCGGGATCCATTTCGGCGCAGGCGTGGGGCTTCTTCATCGGGGCGACGCTCTCGATTAAGGTGAGTCACATTATGGGTTAACAGTGAGCAAGAGAGCGCATGAGAGTGAGAAACGAGGGTGTGTTGAGCTGAGTGAGAAAAATAGTTGCGTGCAAGTTGAGTGTGAGTTGTTTTATGGCATGCATCGCAACTTGCTTCGACGCAAGTTTTGAATACACTGGAGAAAAATGGTAGGATGGTTGTGTAGCTTTAATTATACAACTACTGCTAATTATTTTTTTTTATATGATTTATGAATACTACCACAGTTATCAACCGAGTGCTCATCAGTGTTTTATTCGTTTCAGCTCGCCGTCTTCATCGGGCCCATCCTGGCCGTTCTGTTCTCCGTATTCGGCTTCTGCACCCGGTACGTGGACATCACCCCGCTGTTCCAATGGATGTGGCACATTAGCTACTACCGGGCCAGTTTCCACGGGATCCTCAACTCGGTTTACGGCATGAACCGGGACGACCTGTACTGTCCGGAAACGCAAATCTACTGTCACTTCAAGAACCCCGTTCTGTTCCAGAAGGACATGGACATCGAGCACGTGGATATGGAGAAAAACTTCATCCTGATTGTGTCGATCGTGATAACAATGTACATCGGAACGTTGTTCGTGCTGTGGTACAAGTTGAACAAACGGTAGTGATCTGCTGCAACGCATAGTATATTGTTAAGGTACACTTTTTCTAGCATTCGGGTAGATTGTTTAAGTTCGGCTGGTACGATGATGATAACGTGCAATGAGTTTCCGAGGGGTTCCATACGTCAAATATGCTGTCTTATCAATCATTTAGCTACGTGCGAAACGATTGACCTTTAATCCTACCACTTGTCCAACGATCTTGCCATTGTTCCTTTACCATTGATCCCTTTCCCCCCTTGAAAGCCTACATGAGTCTTCTTTCTCCTACTTAAAGCTATCGTTCTGGGAAAAAGCACCATTAACGAGAATGTAAAGCAATCGTCTGTGATTACGTGATAGCACATTTTTCCTTACATTGAAAGGTATCGTATTAAACCGTTAATTTTAGCTACCAATACCAAAATCATATGTTTGAACATCAACGTCAAAGTCTCTCTCCCTCTCCCTAGTGAATCGAACGTAGTTCATTTGACTACAAATCAAATCTGCACCTGAATTATGAAATGAAAAGTAAAAATTTGCGATAAGAACCGTTCGATCTGTCTACAGGTTGACGTAGAACGAAAAGAAAGCCCCTCTCTGACCCACGGCACGGCAGAAGACCCTTGAACTTGATGGACCGTCAGACGATGACCAAATTTTCGTGGCCATAGACACTGAATAGCAACACACACACACACACACACACACACACACACACACACACACACACACACACACACACACACACACACACACACACACACACACACACACACACACACACACACACACACACACAACGAAGCATTATCAAAACGTGCCCGAACTCCAGCTGGTTCCATCGTGCTAGCGTTGTTATCAGTTTCGACTGTACTCCCGGTCCCGTCAAGTGGGAATCGAAATCATTTTTTCAACAGCCTTTTGCACCTGAAAGTAGAAAAAAGAGGGTAATGGCGGGACAACCGATAGACGCGCGTGATTGAGTGATTGGCGATTAGGATTATCGAACTGAATTGGCATTTCTCAAGTACGCAGGCTTTAGCTTGGTTGTTGAGAGGCGAAATTATGAGTTTGCAACTGTGTAAAGATTGCACTTGCCAGAGAATGACAAATCGGTTCAATCGACAGGGTGATTGACCGTGAACAGTGGGTGCGGTTTCACTGGGTAGCGGAAATATGAATTTAGGATTTTATTTTTTTGTTATCTCGGAATGACAAGGGGTTTTATAGTACGCAAAGCATGGGTAAAGGAACTATGAGATATCTATGGCTTAGGCAGTTGACGTCACATTCTAATACACGTGCGATGAAATTTGGGTTGTTTTGATCGTTGTTCGGTGACACAAACTATCCTACTCGACAGAGGCTTGATTTTTTAGTGTATTTTAATAATGTGATTCATTGATTATTTTGGGAAACGTACAAGAATTTTGTTTACAAAAATTACATTCTATTTTTATGTTTAGTTCTCCCACTGTTAGTTAATTATTGGCGAGAATTTCGATATGCAGTCTGGTCAGCTCAAACGATTGGTTTTCAACTGTCTAGTGGTGGGTACTTAATAAGCTATTGTTTGAAAAGTTATAACGATAATTTGTATAATTAGAAAGTCCGATAACTTATATCATCCGTAGGTCCTATAACTCGTATTCAGTACAGGGTGTCTACTACCTAAGCAGAGCTTGGAAAAATCTGGAAAACCTGGAATCTTCAGGAGAGTTTATTTTACATGGATAAACCTGGAATTCTCAGTGATTTTCAAATTCATTCATTAAGAAAATGTTTAAGAATAGAATATATTGAAGTATGCCATAGTACCTTCTCAGGAATTTAAAAATATTTCATAGTAAAACTAACTTTATCTTCCCCGTAAGAAGCTTTTACTCTTTCAACATAATAATTCTGGAATTTTATGTGAATTTATCTTCAGTGATACCGTACATTCTCAGGCTTGAATTGAGTTTGTTTAAGGTTATGGAGCATGGATAATTTCAACTGATTTTAAACTAAGGATAATTTTCCAGATTCTGGAACGTGTATAAATATGATTCGGGACCGTCTGCATTTAGCACAATGTATAAATATTATTTGAGGTGGTCGAGTTCCGGGTCGTTATGTGCCATTTCTGAATCAAATGCAGTTTGAATTCATAACGTATGAATCCGCACGGTTGCATATTGGTCTTTGATATTGGTCATGGTTAGATTTGCCGGCGTGGTAATCTTGATCGCGCATAATATGTTGTTTGTTTTTTCGGACATGTATGGTCGTCTATGCTCATGCTCAATCTGGAACGAACATAAATAAATATACAAGACTACGAATTTTGAATGAGTTATAAGAACCCAGATTTCAAATTAATTAAGGGCTTCGCAAAAATTTAAAAGCTTATGATCTTCATTAATAAGTTTGATGAAAATTTTTAAAGATCAATTGGAATAATTTACAGGGAATTCAGAGGATTAATATTTATAAAAATCTAGAAAATCTACGGATTCCATTCTCCAGGTGAATCGTAAGGAGTAGAATTCCAAAGAAACCTGAGTAAGTAAACTAAAGTAAATTTATAAGAGAAATCTGTGGAGCATTCCAAGGCAATTTCAAAGAGAGTTCTGACTTAAACTGCAAAGCAATTTTGAGGAGGCTTTCCTAAGGGATTTGTAAGGAGAGCTGAAAATGAATTCTAAAGAAGATGAAAGAACTCCGAGGTACTTGTAAGTAAAATTCCAATAGAAGAAGGAGAAGGGAATTCTGAAAAGAAATTCCAAAGATTATTCATAGTTATTTTAGACGAATGCTCAGTGAATACCAGCGATAGAAATTCTCACTCAGCTGAACGACAAGCATTTCCTCACTCAAGCTACTTTTCGGTGAGTTGTGAACCGTTACCACCCCAAATTGTTCGGTTCCAACCCAATGTGATGTAAACAGTTGAGGCTTGGTAATTCGCCGTCTTTTTTGTTCTTCCGCTGATTAAATGGTGGACGGAGGGTCAACAAAACCATCAGATGTTTGATCTGCTGTGTTTCTTCAGAGTACGCTAGCCTACCACCAACTCGCAGGCTTCCGTGTTCGTCGTCGTAATCGTCGTAATCATCGTAAAGTAGAATTTGGACGAACAGGAGCATCCTCTGAGAATGATTCAGATTGTACCTTCCGGATGATCGTCCATTCGGCTTGGTTAAGAAGAAAACCTGTCCATCCTTGGTCTCCTGGACACCGTAAGTTGTCGTGTAGCGTAGTCGGTAAACAGTCATTTGAATTAGCCTAGTTAGAGAAATTTGCTAAGTAATCCGAAATGTACCCATATTATTTCGACGAAGCGCAAACCACCACATTGCGTCGTCTCTCCTATTCCTCTTCTGGTGGATTTCCAACACCTTTTGGCCAATCTTCGGGAGGATCCTCCAACCAGGTAGACCTATGGGCATTCTCGATAATGTCTTGGATCAGCAAGATTGGTGATTCCCAAATCATTCTCCAATCGTTCCCCTCTGTCAGCGCTTGAATTTTGGCGACCCTGTTCGCCACGTAATTTCAATCGTGTTAAGCATTTCTCTCGTGGAATGTTCGCCATTCCTCACCCACCGTTCCAGGTAGGTTCAATTGAATACCTTGCCGTTTCACAGTTGCAGCTCAATCCACCCAGTTTCGCAAGAACTTCGTTGTGCTTGGAAAGAGTTAAAGTTTACCGACCATCCGATTCCCGTTCGACTGTACGCTCGAATAGCTCCTCGCAGCGTGTCTGGTCCGGCGGGTATTTGCTGACGGCTCGTACTTCCTTGCAGGACCAAACCGTTCCATGGACTTCTCCAGATCGTTCGATACTGACATGTTACAAGCATATCTCGTACCTTGGCTTGATGTAGTAACTTCGCCTGTCACTATCCAACCGAAAACTGTTTCGGTGAGTACTGGCAGATCGGTTCCCAGTGGAATCTCTCTTCCGGATGGGAAGAAGCTGAAGAAAGCTTGGATGCCCCAAGTCGACCTTTCTCGAGCGGAAGAATTCTGGATCTGCCAGTTCGATGTCTGCCGGTATGTCCCATCCATTTGCCTGCACTGTAGAAGTGGGCAGACAAGCTGTGACCTTCGGCAAGACGAGAAATTCCATTGTTCGAGAGAATGACGAGAACCGAGACTTGATGACAGCTTGGATTTTGCGATTGATTCTTGTTCCGGTTTGTCCGATACCCGATATCGAAACATCCACCTTCTAGAGACCTTCATCAGCTGACTTAGATCTTCAGAGATGAATTTGCATTGCGACCCGGAATCCAACAGTGCGCGTGCCGGATAGCGAGAACCCTGGTTGTCCTCGATCACAACAACTGCTGTAGCCAGAAGTACCTGTGACGTGTGACTCTGTGCTGTGTTCGACGATACTATCTGAACCGATGCGGCATTCGCTGCCTTGGGATCAGAACTTGAGTCGTTCCAGTTACCACTTTTACCCGTATTGGACTTCTTGGGTGATCCATTTTTACTGCTTCTTCCTTCGACCTTGAAGCACAGCAGTGTGTGGTGTCGAGCCTTGCAGTTGCGACACGAGAACATTGACGAACAATCTCGAGCTAGATGGCCTCGCTTGAGACAGTTTCGGCAGAGTGACTGTGCTCGAATGAACGACTCCCTGCTGGACAGCGACATTTCCATGAAGGCTGGGCACGTATGTAGTCCATGAACCTTGGCGGTTGTTGTATCGTTTTAGCAACGACTTCCAAGCAATCGGATAGTTGTTACTAGTGATCTTTAACGGATCCAATAGTGCCTTAGCTTCGCCTGCTAAGCTACCCTTGAGGTAGTGGAATTTCTCCACTTCCGGAAGATCTGGCTTTTCATGGATCAGAGAGGTGTAGAGATCCCTGAAACTCAGCCAATCATCGATGTCTCCGTCGAAAGTCTGCAGCTTGATTTGCGGCAGGCGTACACGGTCCATTGTACCATGTGTACTGGCGGTGTCCCCACTCCATGTTGACTGGTTTAGTGCTGATTCTTCCTGGAACTTCTTGGCCTTTTCCATCAAGAACGATTTCGCATCGTAGTACCGATTCTCGAACTCCAGTTGTTCCTTTTCGACACCTTCTTGTTCTTCGTAGTCTTCATGCGATTCGATTTCCCAAGAAGTCTCACTAAATTGCTCCCACAACAAATCTATGCGTTCGAGGCGGACAGTGACCTGACTAGCTGTTGTACCCGCTTTATAATACCTAAAGAACTGACTTATGTTGTTTAACGACGCTCGAAGACCCTTGAGTTTTGACTTCAACACCTTCAAGGAGTCGGTTGACCTGGTAATCTTCGTTGACATGGTTGTTGTCGAAGGAATCAAGGTACGGAAACGAAGAACCAAGATCCAGTCGTAAGTTGGTAGGTACTAGTGATGCGTTGCTCCACGCGATGTTTGGCGAAACGTTGAAATATCCGA